GGCACGGCAGCTTTTGTGTGGCATGCTCAAGCCTTTGTCCCAACTTGTGTGCTCGGTGTCACGCTTCAAGTGCGATATGACACACGTGCGAAAAGACGTATGTGCAATATGGCACGCGTGTCCTTCGGATAAGTGTAACAAAAATCACAGACAACGAAATGATGTACAGCAAAGAGACGGACGAAACTTCTATGTTAATTTATTTGGGTGCCAAGTTTTCACTTCCCCTTTTTTTCCGGCTGAACTAAGAATTGATTAAGACAGGGTAGTCATAAGCTTCAGTGAAATCTAATGGCTTGTTTCTTCTTGATAAAAAGGCAAATAACCATATTTTGCAAATAACCACATTTTGTCTAAGCAGAAATTGGGGCTTTATTGTAGTTTGCCATCGGTTGGTCAAAAGCGTTTCCACAGTCACGGTTCGAGAAGCCAAAGTTTAATGAAGCGGAAGCCATTACTTTGACAGTTAAATGAAGTAAAGTATACCTTACTTAAATCTAAAACTCATAATTATGTTTTAAAACGATATCTGTAAACTGATAGAGTCTTACTTACTTTCAATCATTTGAATTCATATCTTGAACATTAGGGTGCCAGGATCAATTAAGAACGGCTGTTTCAATTCGGAATGGTTGAAGAAGGAATCTCGACTTTGCCGTAGGCTTCCTAATTTGGCAATGTGCTTGCTACGTGTCGAGGTTTATGCGTAAATTTTGCTATTATATTTTCTCTACGTTCACTGAAAATCATGGAATTGAATTACCAACAGCTGTAGGACGGTACACTGTGTTCGATGTCAAAAGCAACGCCTGTATTTTTGATGATTTTAGATATTTGAAATTCATATATTTGCACTGCGGTGAAGAAACGAAATTAAGAGATCCTTGCAGCTAAGAACACTACTGAACTAGTGGTTGAAAATAGGACCTGAAAAAAATTCAGGCCCGTACGAGATTTGAACCCATGACCTCTGCGATACAGGTGTAGCGCTCTACCAACTAAGTTAACAAGCCAACTGGGAGCTGGTCAATGTGTTGGGTCCAAATAAACCATCCAAATGATGAATGCTGATTTTAGAT